CGAATGTCATCAAAATGTCTTCCTTTCAATATTTCCTTGATCTTTGGGTAAAGAAAGAAGTCATTGAGGGCCAGATCAGGTGAGTAGGGAGGGTATTCCAATATAGTTATCTGTTTACTGGCCAAAAACTCCCTCACAGACAAGTGCCGTGTGAGCTGGTACATTGTAGTGATGCAAGAGCCATGAGTTGTTGGCTAAAAGTTCAGGCCATCTAACTTTTTCATTCAGCCTTTTCAGCACTTCCAAATAGTAAACTTGATTAACTCTTTTTCCAGTTGGTACAAATTCATAATCAATAATCCCTTTGACATTAAAAAAAAGTTAACAACATTCTTGCAACAAGTTCACAAAATTAATTGTCAGACCTCACATCTCTCCATTTATTTAAGTCTCCCTTTATCTCAGCAATATTTGGTAATTATCAGTGTATATTTTAAATTAACTTTATTCCTAAATATTTTAAGCTTTTAGGTGCTATTTTAAAGAGTACTTAAAATTTCCAATTGTTTGTTACTAAGATATAGAAATACTAATGATTTCAATAGGCTGACTTTGTATTTGGTGACCCTGCTAAATTCACTTATTTATTTCAGTAGTTTTGTAGGATTTTTTTTTTTTGGTAGATTCCTCTGTGTACAAAATCATGGTATATACCAGTAGAGACAGTGTTATTTTGTCTTCTCTAATTTTAAAGGCTTTATTTCTTTTTCTTCTCTTACTGCACTGATGTGGGTCTTTGGTGCAATGTTGAATAGAAGCAGTGGACATTCTTGCCTTGTGACTGATCTTAGGGGGAAAGTGTAAGGACGTTTTGACGATGTTAATCCTTCCAAACCATGAGAAAGGTATATCCTTCCATTTATCTGTTCTTGTTTAATTTCTTTCTTTAATGTCTTACAGTTTTCAGAGTACAGGTTTTTCGTAACTTTGGTTAAATTTATTCCTAGGTATATTTGATGCAATTGTAAATGGGATTGTTTTCTTAATTCTTCTTCTGACCATTCATTATTGCTGTATAGAAATGCAACATATTTCTGTATATTGATTCTCAATTGTGCAACTTCACTGAAGTCATTATTATATTTCTAATAGGTTTTTTTTGGTGGTCTTTAGAGATTTCTATAGTTTTATGTCATCTGCAAATAATAAGAGTTTTCCTTCTTCCTTTTCAATTTGGATGCCTTTTATTTCTCTATCTTGTCTGATTGCTGTAGCAAGGACTTCCAATATTATGGTGAATACAAGTGGTGATAGTGGGTATCCTTGTCTTATTCCTGATCTTAGAGGAAAGACTTTCAACTTTTCACCATTGAGTATGATATTAGCAGAGGGTTTGTCATACATGGCCTTTATTATGTAGAGATATGTTCCTTCTATAGCCACTTTGTTCAGATTTTATCATAAATGGATGTTGAATTTTGTCAAATACTTTTTCTGCATCAATTGAGATGATCATATGGTTTTCATTCTTTATTTTGTTAATGTAATGTATCACATTGATTTATGGACGTTGAACCATCCTTGCATCCCTAAAATGACTCCCTCTTGGTCATGGTGTATAATACTTTTAATGTATTGTTGAATCTGGTTTGCTAATATTTTGTTGAGAATTTTTGCATCTATTTTCATCAAGGATATTGGCCTGTAGTTTTCTTTCTTGTAATGTCTTTATCTGCTTTTGGTATCAGGGTGCTGACTTCCTAAAATGAGTTTGGAAACATTCCTTCCTCTTCAATTTTTTGAATTAGTTTAAGAAGAATAGGTATTCTTCCTCAAATGTTTGGTAGAATTCACCTCTGAAACCTGGACTTTTATTTGTTGGAAGTCTTTTGATTACTGCTTCACTTTCATTGTTAGTAATTGATCTATTTAGATTTTGTGTTTCTTCCTGGTCCAGTCTTGGAAGTTTATATACTTCTAGAAATTTATCCATTTCTTTTAGATTGTCAGATTTGTTAGCATATTGTTGTTAATAATATTCTTTAATAATTATTTCCATTTCTGTGGTATTAATTTAACTTCTCTTTCATTTATGATTTTATTTATTTGGGCTCTCTTTTTCTTGATGAGTTTGGCTAAAGGTTTGTCTCTTTTATTTATCTTTTCAAATAACTGGATCTTAGTTTTATTGATCATTTCTATCACTTAATTTCTATTTTGTTTGGTTGTGCTCTGATCTTAACTATGTCCTTCCTTCTGTTTACTTTGGGTTTTGTTTGTTCTTTTTCTAGTTCTTTTAGATGTAGTTTGATTGTTTATTTGGGATTTTTTGTTTCTTGAGGTATAGCTATGAACTTCCCTCTTAGAACTGCTTTTGCTGCATTCCATAAATTTTGAACCAATTTCATTTGTTTCAAGATAGTTTGTGATTTCTTGTTTGATTTACTTTTTGATCTATTGGTTGTTTAGTAGGATGTTGTTTAGTCTCCACATGTATTTGTGGTTTTTCCAGTTTTCTTTCTGTAGTTGATTTCCAGTTTCATGCCATTGTGGTTGGAAAAGATGCTTGATATGATTTCAATCTTCTTGAATTTATGAGGTTTGTTTTGTGGCCTAATATGTGATCTATCCTGGAGAATGTTCCATGTGCACTTGAAAAAAAATATGTATTCTGCAGTTTTTGGATGAAATGTTCTGTAAATGTCTATTCA